AGTAGTAGATATACTGGGGCGGGATCTAAGGGCCTGACAAAAGCTTTATTTGTGAAATAAAGCTTTGCAGAGGCTTTTTGTTGGACTTGGTCCCGGACAATCATTGTATCTATCTACAATCATTGTATCACAGAGGCAACCTATCCATCATATCTGGTTACAGAAAACAACCTGCTGAATATGGTCGGTCAAGGTCACAACCATCCTGCTATTCCGTTTCTTATTGAAGTTGATGCGTTCAAGTCAAAGCTCCATCATCGTGCAAAGACTGACAACGCCACGCCCATCCCCCAGATCTACCATGAAGAAGTCAGCAACTTGAGAAAGAATCCAGCAGCTGCTCCGGACGCCCTTCTCCAACACATTCCTGTCTTTGACTCCATGAGAACCAGCATGTATCGACAAAGACATAAGACCGTTCCTAAGCTCCCACAGACATCAATCTAGAGAATGAGTGGACAACGACTGAAGCAGGAGATGACTTTCTTCACCGACTAGATGATGGCAACATTTTGCTCTTCTTCACCGGCAAGAATATGGAGCTTCTCTCTGCAGCAGATGTGATCTTTGCAGATGGTACATTCTCGTCTTCACCGCGACTGTTTGACCAAATCTACTCGATCCATGCTGAATACCAAGGACACATGCTACCCCTGATATATATGAAATATATGAACAAATATGCTATATTATGTGACATATGATGCATGTTGTTATATTGACTGAATAAATATATTGTCTACTATATATATCACACTCTGTTTTAATTAGTTTGTTAATTTGAGAACACTGGGAGTGAAGTCACTCATGTAGAACATCACCTCCCTTTTCCCTGTCGACAAGTATTTTGGACGGATTATTTCTTGTTGTCGACAGTCCGGGCATAAACCATCCAAACTAGAGTACACGCATTACAGAATTCATGAGGTGACACTATACTGAATTATTATAGTGTATATGACACCCCCCCCCCCAATATTTATGAAGGTGGGCGTGCCTATATCTTTACTGAATGCAAACGAGGTTCATAAGATTACAGATGTGCATGCATGTATAAACATCACAGAGAGGGGCGGGACTCCATAAAGCAAGATGTCCAATGATATAACAGCGCATCCGTTTTGCGCGGGGTATTAAAATGGACTCCGTCCATCCGTGCACATTTATCTTTTCCGGAGCAGAACTCTAAAACTGTTCAATATTTCTTCACCAAACTTGGCACATACATGGATCTGGTGGTGTAATGGTGCCTTTTGGTAGTTTTGGAATTCTGAATTAAATATTTTTGGCGTTTCCATGGCAACAAGTTTGACTTAGCCTGAAATTGTGGTAGTGCTCTTTTCCGGAGCTGAACTCTAAAACTGTTCACTATTTGTAGGTTCCACAAACGCAGGACGTTGTTCCACTTCTTTATTCAGGCCCATTACAGTTACAACTCATATTTACAATGCAAACCTTTCAATTACGCTGTAATACGGTTGAAAACCGTGTAGCCCTATGCCTGAACAACGCTAGCATGGTTTCTGCTTCGGCCGACCTCTCTCTCACCACTGCCCGTGGCTCGCCTCGCCTCATCTCGCTGTCACATGACTGTCACATGACCCATACACTTGTTTCTAATTATAGCTTACTGCTGTCAGTGTCAAACAGATGCTATAACTGGCACTTACACTATTTCTTCACCAAACTTGGCACATAGATAGATCTGGTGGTGTAATGGTGCCTTTTGGTAGTTTTGGAATTCTGAATTAAATATTTTTGGCGTTTCCATGGCAACAAGTTTGACTTAGCCTGACATTGTGGAAGTGCTCTTTTCCGGAGCTGAACTCTAAAACTGTTCACTATTTCTTTACCAAACTTGGCACATAGATAGATCTGGTGGTGTACCTGCGCCTTTTGGTAGTTTTGGAATTCTGAATAAAATATTTTTGGCGTTTCCATGGCAACAAGTTTGACTAAGCCTGAAATTGGTGGTTGTGCTCTTTTCCGGAGAAGAACTCTAAAACCGTTCAATGTTTCTTCACCAAACCTGGCACATAGATTGGTCTGGTGGTGTACTGGTGCCTTTTGGTAGTTTTGGAATTCTGAATAAAATATTTTTGGCATTTCCATGGCAACAAGTTTGACTAAGCCTGAAATTGGTGGTTGTGCTCTTTTCCGGAGCAGAACTCTAAAACCGTTCAATGTTTCTTCACCAAACCTGGCACATAGATTGGTCTGGTGGTGTACTGGTGCCTTTTGGTAGTTTTGGAATTCTGAATAAAATATTTTTGGCATTTCCATGGCAACAAGTTTGACTTAGCCTGAAATTGGTGATAGTGCTGCTTCTGGAGCAGAACTTTAAAAACCTTTCAATACTCTCCTTCCACTTTTCTATATACACACCTAAATATTTGACATAATCATAACTTATAGACATAATCATGAAGAGTATTTTGCCATTGCGGGGGATATTGATGACTTTGTCTTCTTGTTGACGATGGATCAATAGAGACTGAGTTGATTGATACACGTGATAATTGCACCGGATTTGATAATTACACAGATCAAATACAAATGTTTTACACAATGCCCATGTAAATTGCATAGAAAACTGACAATTCAAATCAACATGAAACTTTCAACAGCTTGAACAAAAATGCTTGAAATACCTTTGTATGGTTTACATGTAATAACTTATGATATTACTTCTGTCCATGTGTGACAATGTTTTGAATTACCAACTTACTGTCTTTTGTAACAAACATAGTAAAACATTTCATTGTTGTAATAACATTGACATGTATATATGTATTCGATGCAAAGGCGTGACTTATCACTTTATGTTCGCTTAGGTAACATTACGAACTTTAGATTATGGAAAACAACTAGTTACAATTCAGTAAACTTCAAATTAGTAAGTTCAATTATGTTTAATCTATTCGAGCTTGAATGTATAATTACTTCAGTATATGAAACATGACAACGTAATGATGCCTAAAAAGTAAATTCAAACTATTCTATTGTGTTTGAATTCTTTGTATGTCCTTGAAATTTCGTATATTGTTTCCTATTTATTAGGTAGTTGAAGGAAATATAATTTTTAGTAACCTCTAAACCATTACATCTAATTCAATCAAGGTGCATACAAAGTATTTTAGTATCCATTCCCAAGGAAGAGTACCAGGCACTTACCTCTGTAAAATCATCATAATCCCCTTTCTCGCCGACATTCGTTCATTTGCTAAACGCTGTACAAGCCTATGATAATGATTAGCAATTGTTATCTAAACACTTTAAATACTTCTAAATAGGTACAGTGCGATTTTTAAAAGTACAACACACATGTGCGTCTCTCGCTGAATAAGAGGTGCTTTCTGTTGACGACTGTATGTGGCTCTCGCTGTGAGAAACTGCTAATTACCTGCCCCATAAACACGTCACTTGCTGTGAGGAGCTGATTAATTTGCCCCATATATGCATCTCTCGGCCTTAATGAGCTAAGAGGATTAAACCAGGTCTGGTCAGTAGTGTGTCGGAGAGGTTGATCGATCCACTGTGGCATGATGTGTCTCTGGGCTGACACTATCAAACCAGTGCACACATCACTTGAAATACTAAATGTGATTATACAGTCAAATCCCGATGAGTCGAATGCCGGTGTCTCGAATTTTATGCATAACTCGAAGTACCTGTCGGTCCCGACTATTCCCTGTTATAGTTGTCATCATTTGAATACCGGTTACACAAATTCGTCTCATAAATACACACGATGACTCGAGAAGGAAATTTGGTCCCATGAGATTCAAACAACAGCAATCTTGTATACATAAGCCGAAGTCAGTCAATGAGAAGTTGATTGGTGTAGCTAACGGATCCAATTAACAAACCAGCGCGGCTCATACCTTTCCGCCATTGACGGGTGAGTTCAAAAGTCAGATTAGTGATTTTACGGAAATCACTGTCTGTGTTTATCAGACTGGAACTGATAAGGTGCCCCTATTAGTGATATGGAAATCATTAGATAAACAAATGCTTAGGCGGAGAAATTAGGACTGGATCATCTTTTTTTCTACCCTCATAGACATACTTATGTCTCGAATACATCGATAAGTCGAATTTATTACTTGGTCCCCAGCGATTCGACTCATCGGGATTCGACTGTATTTTGTTTATCTACATATATGATCACAACTTGCAGTGTATGAAATAAGGCCCATCCGACCGCCTGAGACAGGCTAAATTTCTGACGGACGGTCTGTTACAGTCAGATTGTGAAATCAGTCATTTCGTGAAATGACTAAGAGGGTCAGCCATTTCGCTGGATAATGGTATATCAGGATAACTTAACTAAGTTTTGTCTATTGAGACCACTGACAGCTGAAAGGGCTGCTGAAGTAGCGTTACATTTAGTTGACATTTTCTTGACGATAGGTGCCCTAGTGATCCTCCAATCTGATAATGGATCAGAGTACACGTCTCATGTTATTAAAGATATTCCACACGTCTGGCCAGAACTAGCACGGGTACATGGTAAGCCACGCCATCCCCAAAGGCAGGGATCAGTTGAAAGGGCAAATGGCGACATAAAAGACATGCTGGTAGTGTGGATGGGTGATAACAAGACAAAGACTGGCGACATCTTATTCATTTCACAAAATGACTGAAACAGGTCTAAATTTACAGCTAGCCAGCACGATGGTCTGGTAAAAGTTTTACATAACATGTCTCATGAATTCACCATATCTTAAAATTCATTATTCAAAAATGACTGTTGTGAATAGACTGTTAGACAGTGAACATGTGTCCCAGGTTCATTAAATTAATCATTGTAGCGAAACAAATTAGCTATTTTCTTTGGATGGTCTGGTCTGCTTAAATCCATTTTGGGCTGGTAACATTTTGAAGTTACCAGCCCTAATGACTTGCTGGGATTTTGGCTTATTTCATACACTGTCACAACATTATAAACTGTTCAACATTCTATAATTCAACATTGCCTGACATATTTTTTGTTTTAGATCATGCAACTGAGGATGAGAGACGCAGCCTTTTCCTTGAAATTGAGGTCATGAAACAGTTTGGATTTCACCAGAATGTAGTCAGCATGATAGGCTGCTGTACAACTGGCAGTCGTATCTGTCTTGTTATGGATTTTTGCCTGCTTGGAGACCTACGGAATTATTTGAGAAACTACAGGGAAAAGGTAAACTGAAATATGAGACTTCCAAATTATGAGTTATGAGATTTGCAACCAAATCAACGAACATTCTAATTCAACTTAGTATGAAACACAAGTTCTGATTGGTCAATGCTATAAATTTCCGACCGTATAATCAGCATATACGGTCGCAATTTGAAAACCGATGAATGCATCCCTACACTATTTGGGTAACGCTGTTTTTTCAGGGCATTATCATTAGCAGAAGCCGTAGGTATGTTAACTCCCGACAGTCAGTAAAGTACTTTCTCCAGTGTCAATTCAAATTTCAACCTTTCGCAAAATGTAAACATTGGCTTGTCTGCCATTTCAAACTGTTGTGTAACTGTCAACAACTACTTCCAAGAAAATTAAGTAGGTCAGACGATTCCATGGAAGTGTTGCCAGTGAGGTTCAGTAACACGGCACACAAAACAATAGGCTGGTTTTGGTCGTGTGAAGATGGGCTCATAAAAACGAAGCTCTTAGGTGTTACATTATTGCATTGAATAAAGAGTAGTTTGTTTTCTTCGGACAGAATATTTTTTTATATTGCAATGTTAAAAAAAGACAACACCACCTACCACTCTCTTCACAGACGAGTTGAATTCGCCTCTTGTCCCATGCTGGATTACTCAGTGTCTTCCGCGGAACGAAGAAGTTCGATTTTAAATCGGTTATGGTAGAATGGAGATAAATTTCATTTGAAACTGAACACGCAGAGACTACTCAATTCGGGCCTACTCAATTCGGTCTAACATCGATCTAATTTCTAAACACCTTCCAACCAGACCCCTGATTTTTATGTTTGACTCACAAATTCAGAGACTAATTTCCATTATGGTTTTCAAATACCGGTAGCCTGATGTCTATACTACATGAAATCATGTAACGGACATCCCTATGTCCAGCTAAAAGTCATTTTAGCAGCCCCTTTTAAGATGGCTGCATTCTTTTTACTGCTTTTCCAAATATCAGAATCATAAAAGAACAGACTTGACAATTCCTTAACAATTTTTGTTGGATGAAATATGTCAAGCACTAAATTCAGAATATATTCTTAGGCATGTTTAAGTTTTCAGACATTAACAGTTTGTGAGTGAGTGAGTGTGTGTGTGTGTGTGTGTGTGTGTGTGTTTTATCTTTATGTCAATACAAATATTTAGTGATGACATACTTGACATAACCTCTTTTTGATTCAGAATCCAGACATTGTCTCATATGGATGTTTTCTGATGTCTGACGTGTGACTTACCCGCTGGTGTATATATACCCCACACCTATTTTGATATGGTTCTCTCTAAACTTTCCTTGGAAACTAAAGGAAAATAGATAATATTATGTGTTAGTCTCCTAAAGTTTACATGCTGGGTTCACCAAACTTCATACACATGTTAATCAGTACCCATAGATGTGCCTTTTGCTATTAAGATGTTTATCAGAATTGTATTTTTGCTTTTTCCATGGAAACATGGCTTAAGTGCAAAATGTGTTTGATGGTTATCTTGTCCAGATAATATCACCGAAACTATACATGCTTGGTTTACCAAACTTAACACACAAGTTAATTATGACCAACAGATGTGCCTTTTACTACTAGGAAGTTTATCAGAATTTCATTTTTTGATGTTTCCATAGAAACATGACTTGGTGCCAAATGTGTTTAGTACACAAGTTTATCATAAAAATGATGTGCCTTTTGCTATTTTTTTGCGAAGTTTAATTATTCAAAATGTGATGTTAACTTTTCACGGTCTTTCTTCATGTCATATATAGAGAATACTACAGGAGGTCTCACTACATACGAATTATATGAAACAAGTGTCCTTCCTATGGTATCTGACCGAGCGAAAGCAAGGTCAGATAACATAGGAAGGTCACGAGTTTCGTATAATTCGTATGTAATGAGACCGAGTGTGGTATTTTATTTATTACCCACGTCTTACAAGCATTAAATTGACAAAATAGCGTATTTTTGTTATTTTTTGGTTTCAAACCGAAACCGGTTTCATAAAGAGGTTGCGGAAGAGTTTTGTACTGTAGTACAATATTTGCATGACGTCACACTGAAATGACGTCACTGCCTTGGTAACCGACGTCACGATGCATGTCAGTTGTCATCGACTCGGACAGCCTCCTACAGTAAACTACTCCGTAGCACCCCGTTTCTTGGTTTGCAGTTGCTTCATTCGGCTAACATCACTGGTGGAAACATTGCATTTATGTTTTTCGACGGATATAATGTCTCAGTTCGACTTACAATTAAACAGCGACACAGCAACGTTCGCATTGTTTACATTGCCACAATGCATTTAAGTTGTAGAATGATTGAATTCACGTGTTTGTTATGAATGAAAAAATAGTTGTCAGAATGTGACCTATTTGAGAGGTCATTGGTTATCCAATCAAATAGTTAGAATCTCAGGTCAAGTCGTTACGACACAGGTCAACGCGATGCGATACGACACTCGTGTGACGTACGAGATTAGTATGCAACTACCCATACGTTGACCGCGTGGGTAATAAGTACCAATATGTAATTTAGTCTCTGTATCTAGATTAGCTATTTCCTTCATGTCATCAAGATGTGATTTATTTTCTGTATCTACTTTGGTTGTTTTCTTCATGTCATATGTACAAATATAGTTCTAATTGATTCTAAATAGTTAATTTCTTCATTGCATACATGCAAATAAAGGTGTGAATGATCCCGTTTCTATATTAGCAATTTATTTATTAAATTTAAGAAAACATGGAGATTAAGTTTCTTTCAGTTTCATGGTGTTCCTGGTGATCTACTTCCCAGCAGTAAACACCAGTAACGTGGGAGATGCATACCTGTCAACTCTCACGCATTTGGCGTGAGTCTCATGCTTTATTGACAAATGTCACGCTCTCACGCCTCCAAATAATAATCTCACGCATATCTGGTAGCCAAAAATAATTTAAAAATTAATACGCATTTTCGTTCGTTTTTGCGTAAAGTTGAACATTGAAAGAACGCCTGAATGAACGAAGTACTAAAACGATGTTTATGCGAATGATTCGGCTTATTATTATTAATTAGCATGCATCTTTTAGTGTAAAAATAATGCCACCAGAAGGCTCCAAATGCCCCTGAAAATCACTAAACTTCATTTTCGGTGGCGGGGGGTTCGCCCCTCGACATGACCAGGGACCTGAGGTCCCTGGACCCCGGCTTATTTTTTTCAGTCTCACTCCAAACCATCTTTAGGGGTTGACAGCTCTGGAGGTGGTACGTATTTCATTGAATTTGTGTCACCTTTTTAACCTTCAAAGTCTTGCACTTTGCTTGTGGTGTGGGAACTTTGTAAATCAGGATAGAAATCTAACAGCTTCTGCTCATTGCATGTATTCATCTCCCATGGCTAAAGGGTCACCATATTGCTTTTGCTAATACATTCTATTATGTCTACTATTGTTGTCATTTGTGCTGTATAAGCAATGGCAATATGATAATGATGTTTTGTGCCCGATTTCCTACCCAGATTGGAACACAGTCCAAGCTTTTATGTTATGATTGGGACAATTATTGTTCCTACTCAGCACAAAGCAGTATTATCAAGATTATAGTTATCACGTAATAGAGTTTCCATCGGCATAATATACACTTCTTACCTTTGACACACTATTCCTTATTCAACTAACCAACACTACATCCAGCACTTTTGTGGTGATCATGATCACAGGAAGACAAATACAATGCCGATAGAAGCTGTCTAAACCAGCAGCTGTGAAATCCGGCGCCTTGTGCAATCTGGCACTATTTTAGTCGAAACTGACACATTTTCGCAGTACCAATCGATGCTGGATTAAACAGCTTTCACTGTAGCATACATACACACAAAAACACAACACTTGGAACAGTTCAGATAATGGATAGCAAGAAAACCCAGTACAAAATGAAGGACATCATCTAAAGAAGATGCCAGTCCAAGGAGCAATCCCTAGAGCAGTACTCCAAACAGGAGCTAAACACTGTCAAACAGCCTTCAAGGCTTCTCTGAGCAGTGCTTCCAAATGTGAATCACTCGCAGATGAATCCAATGAGTGAACTTTGTTTCAAATGATTATTGGTATGTTTAACCTACAACACAGGACATGTTGGTTTTTTTCATTTTGATTCATGCATTTTTTTGCATTATGATAAATTTGTTTAGCGACACATGGGTGTATTGTCACTTCTATATTCACCAGAATTACAACTAAAATATGTGGAAAAATACTGGTAGTTTGTAACATTTTCATATGTGTTGGGGAAAGAACACATTATTGTAGTTTTATTGTTCTTCATTGCACAACACAGTGAATACTAAGAGCATTGTAAACATCACCTTGTCAGTTGTGCACTACATTTTCTTAAGCAAGACTCACAGGTCAGACCTTGACTAGTTCATTTGCCTTTCCATTTGCTGTTTATAGATTGGCCAACTGCGTATGCCAACATTTAATATTGTTTAGTTAACCCTACATGCATTTCTTTTACTTTCTTGCATGTATGGGAGCCATAATCTATTATCTAATTTCTTATTATGCAAGACTATCATCCAAATGATTAACTCATACCAAAGCTATGTGTCTGCTTGCATATTGTTGCAGTATTTTATCTGTTTCATTTCTCTCATGTGTGTGCTTTCACTATATTCATTTTAATCTTTCCAGCATTTTTTTTGCTTGAAAACACCTTTCATCGCAATAATTTTATCACCACAAGTCAATACATCTCATTAATTATGGCCACTTTATGCCTTGGTTTTCAGTTTTGCTAAATCTTGAAATTTCACCCTTCTTAAGAAATAGTGAGTGAGTGTGATAAGATTTAAAGTCACATCGGCAATATTTCAGCCATATTGTGGCCAAAACTAGTTCTAAATTCATAATACATACATATAATATATAAAACGCTTCCAACGAAGGACAGTAAAATTACTAGATTATCACAAAACTAGCCAGCATATATCTTTAAAAGTAGAAAATTATTTTTG